TTACCAGCACCATCATTCAGATGCATCAGTTCTTCTTTGGTCTTGCTTATGTAATGTCTAATTTTCCCATGGATAGGAGGCCATTGAAAGTACTATGGATTGGGCCAGGGGCATCCTAGTCCTCAGAGTAACAGCTGTGCTTTTCAACACTTTAAAAGAGGTCTTGTGCAACATATTTACCCCCTGGAAATTTTGACTTCAATAATTTCTCCACTTATTATATTACCTATTCAGTTGTGATCATTTCTGTGTTCTTTCCATTGATTTGCAATCCATACTGAAGGCTACAGCCCTTGATCTTCATCAGCAAATGCTCCAAGTCTTCCTCACTTTCATCAAACAAAATTGTGCATATAGATTATTAATAATACTTCCTCCAATCCTGATGCCACATTCTTCTTCATATAATCCAGTTTCTCTGATTATTTGCTCAGCGTAGATTATACATGAGACACTCTTGCTATCCTCGATTTTAAAGAGCATTCTGGCTATACTTCTTCCAAGACAGATTTGTTTGTTTTTATGGAAATCCATGGTACTCTTCCCTATTGTGTAAAAGGTGTGGGAGCTAGATGTGACTTCTCTGGCTTACATGAGGCAAGGGTCAGACATGCGTCGAGCTTATTTACCTTATTTCGACATTCCCCATGTCTCCCACGACACTCTTCCTGTGGTAGGCATGATAATTCATTGCAATGTCCACACAGAACTCAGACAATACTCACAATTTAAGGGAGTTTGTTAGGGGCATTAATAGGTTACTACAAGCCAGGATTAGGAAACAGTAAGGACACAGTCACTGGTCCACAGTACCACCTCTGCTCAGCCAGCTGCCAAGACTCTCGGCCTCTTGACCACATGGTTCCTTGGCTTCTGCCTCCTTGGGCCAGGAAGTCAGCCCGCTGCTCTGCTTCACAGTCTCATAGCCTTGGCTGCTCCTCTGCCATGTCTTGCGGTCTCTTTGCCTTGGCCTCGAGTGCCTCTGGTTTCAGCTTCCACCACTTAGGATAGAGGTCTCAAATGTGCTCCTAAAAAAACTTAATTAGTGCAAAGCATTAATAATAAATATTATGGAACAGTGATTCCTGGCCTTGTGTCTTAGTTATTTAGTGTTGTTATAAAAGAAATATCACAAGTGGATGACTTTAATAAACATAAATTTAGCTTTTCATAGTTTACAAACCCAAACCAAACTCACTGCACAGAGTCTATTCCAACTCATAGTGACTATGGGTTTCTGAGACTAGAAATCTTTATAGAGCAAACTGCCTCATTGTTTTCCACAGATCAGCTAGTGGGTTTGAACTACCAACCTTGTGGTTACCAGCCCAATGCCTAACCCACAGCACCACTAGAACTCCAAGCAAAAAATCCCATTCAGGATATTAGCCTTCCAGGAATTTTTGCCTTGTTTGGGTTGCTAGACATTTAATTACATCCTAACAGATAAGAGAGATCTTTTAAGAAAAAATTAAAGAAACTTTTTCTTCAGAAAAGAAAAGATTTCATATAAAGAAGATAATGTCAATCTATTCTCATTTCAGAGAGAGTACAGCTTGCAAAACTTAATTGGGCACAATAACTCTGAAACCTGTATCGCATCATGATAAATATTCAAATATTGTGGATGTTGTTAGGTGCTGTGGAGATGGTTCTGATTCATAACGACCCATTGTACAAGAAAACACCCATCCGGTCTTGAGCTTTCTTCACCATTGTTATGTTCAAGCCTGTTGTTGTGATCCATCTTCCTGCAGTCCTGCTCGTTCTCACTGACCCTGACGTGACTGCAGTGACGTCCTGTTGCAGGGGTCGATCGATCGGTCTCTCCTCATTGACTCCGTTTTGAGGAGGCTCTGCTTCCCCACTCGTATTTTGAGTGCCTTCCAACCTGAGAGGCCCGTCTCCCAGCACAGCGTCAGGCAATGTTTTCTGAAAAACATTCTTGAGGTTTTCAGTAGCTAATTATCAGAAGGGAACGGCCTCTTTCTTCTTCCTGGTCTGTCTTTGTCTGCAAGCTCCACTGAAGCCTATCTGCCATGGGTGACTGCTGGCATTTGCAGTGTGGGTGACATGGTTCCAGTATCACAGCAGTTTGCCAGGAGTACAACAAATTGTGGAATGGGGGATTAAAATATCAGGATGGAAAATTCTTACTCTTGGCAAGTTTACATTATCCCTTTTCTGCTCAGTCAGATAATTCAATAATTATCTTTGAATCTGGGGAAGTTGAAGATTAGAAGAAATCTTGTTTACTAGATTTTAAGCCAGCTACGATGTTAGGAAGGAAGTGCTGGTAGTGTGGTAGGTTACGGTTTGGGCTGTTAACCCCAAGGTTAGCAGTTCAAAACCACAGCTCTGAGGAAAGAAAGATGAGGCTTTCTACTCCTGTAAATCAGTGGTGGGACTCAGCTGACTCATACTGACTTGGCAGATCTGATCCCGAATATTTTTTTTTTTTAGTGTGGTGAACAAGTTTTTAAAATGGCACTTGTTAATCAAGGTTCTCCATCCAATGTGGATATCACAAATTTACATTCTTTACTCTTTATTTAAAACATTTTTTCCTTACTCTTTTTTGATAGTCATTTGCGCAACAATGTATTCTAAGTGCCCATAGTAATGCTCATTCCATCCATGGGTTCAAAAATTAAATGGAACTATGCTTGTAATATTTATTTATCATTTCATAAAACTTGTTATTCTTTTGATGAAATACAACATTTTAATTCCCTTGCGCTTGTTATTTCAGTAAACAAACATATACTGTAAAGAGAAAAGGTACCAAACATCCAGAGGGTGACACACTGTCATTGGTTTCAGCTTTGTATTATGCCTCAAATTCCCACAAGATATTATGAATAAATTCTGCAATTCCAGAAAGGGTTCAAGAAGGTAAAAATACTATCAGGAAAATTACTGTAAGTTCAGCAGAAGTGGGAAGGGGTTTTTCAAAGATGAACATAATATGTTCAGAGAAGAGAAGTTACCTGTTTCTAATACATAAAACATAATGTCTAATATCTAATTGACCTACTTCTAAAGGAATGGGATCCTACTCCTACAGTGAAAAGATGGTTAAGGATACATCACACAGCCGATGAGACTTGGATAAAAGCGAAGAATATTGCAAGTGAGGATGCCAATTTTAAATAACAGTTTTTTAAATTTTTGTCATTTATTATTTAATATTTTCACTAATACTTAAAACTCATAACATAATCTAGTTTTGTGTGCATCTTTGTTCTTATTTAAGTGTTAACTGTATGAAATGATAAAACTACCTTTTGGTATATATTTTATTATACTTAATGATCATTAGTTGTTAAATTATTTTAATCCCACCAGTGCCAGTAACGATTTACAGTCTTGGAAACCCATGGGGCAGTGCTACCCTGTGTCCAGTAGGGTTGCTATGGGGCAGAATCAACTCTCTGGCACTGGGCTTGATATAAGACATCATTCTCTTACCTACTGCCAGCTCTTCATCCAAGAAATATGTTTTGATGTCTTGGGTTACAGAAAATGTTAATGAACCACATTTCTGCTTTTGATTTTTAAAAGTTTTTGTATCATAAATTTCTAATCCAGGATCTGACATGAAGATTTATTTGTTTGTAGCCTACTCAAAGTAGCTATCTGTATGTCTTGGGCAAATCTAAATAAAGTCTTAGTACTCATCTGAATGTATAACCACGTCTTTCTCTTGTGGAGTTTCAACCCCCAACCTTTAGGTAAATAGCTTAAGTAACCATTGTCCAACCAGGACTCCCATCTGTAAAGTTTACATCCAAGAAAACCCTTTGGGGCAGTTCTATTCTGTCACTTGGGGCCAATATAAAAGCAGCTCAGTGCCATCCGAACAACAACAGCCCCTTAGAAAGGGAACCCCTTGGTGGCTTCAGTGGTTAAGCTCCACTATTAGCAGCTAGGTAGACAGTTTAAGCCTCAGAGTTGACTTGGGAACGCGGCTGGCGATCCTTTTCTGAAAACCATATAGAATGGCTCTACCATGTACACATGGGGTCGCCATCAGTGGAATTGACTCCAGTAGGGCAGCTAACAAGAAAATAATCTCAGTTCGTTTGTAAATTCTCTTGGGGTGTTTAATGTGCTAGGAGCCACCCTGGACAGGAGAGGGCGCCACTTGGGAAACTCCAATGGAGTGATTATAGTCATGTTTTGTGGTTTGGTGTTTGAAAGGGGGTTAAACATCTCTAGAAGCATGTTTTACAAAGAGAATAACAGGCTTGGGAAACTATGTTGAATAGAAAAGTACAAAATGGATATATCCTTCTAAAATGTTAATACTTTAGGCACTTTTGCTCTACATACTGATAGGGCCAGTTAAGTTTGGAAAGGGAGATTCCCGGGTCAGGCCTGGCACAGGAGGGTTTGAAATCAGAGCAAGTTTGACTGTCAAACTTGGTCCTTAGCAGGCAAGGCCATGGAGACAACCCAGGATCACGTTTCTTCCTTGGGCAGAACTCAGTTCGAATCCCAGGTGGCTTCGACTTGAGGTGGCCCAGGCCTGAGGTCAGGGGCTAGGCAGTGAAGTGACTTGCTGACTTATGTTTTTTAAGGGACCATTGTGGAGTTTAATTTCCGTGGCCAGTGTACCAAGGAAGGTGGGCGTGCAGGCGGTGGCACAGCCGCACCCGGCCCCGCCTCTGCTTCTGCTCCGGCGACCGCAGACGTGCGCACGGCTCTGCCCGCCGCCAGACGTTCACGTGCACCTCTTGCTCGGCCGCCTAGCGCCCCTTGGCTGCCACCTGCGGGGCGGGGCAGGCAGGGTGCTGGGCGCGAACCGGGGCCGGGCGAGACGCGCGGCCGCAGGGGCAGCGGCGGTGGAGGGAGGAGGGGCCTGGAGCACGGAGCGCGACCAAAGGACGCCCCGTCCTCCATACGCTGCCACCAGCCTGAGCCAGGCGCTGGGCAAAGGACGGCGCTGCTGCCTGGCAGCTGGACCGCATCCCCTGCCGGGTCTGCTCGGCTGACGCCAGCAAGGTCTCCCCAGAGCGGCGCTGGCTCCGGGAGCATCGGCACCGAGCTGGCTATGAGGCCAGGCGCGCGCGGGATGCCCGTTGCCCTCCACTGCTGTCGGGAGGGACGACCAGCGCGCATCTGCCCGGCGGCGTGTCCTGTAAGTGAACATGTGGGAGGCGGGCGAACGTGTGTAGTGCGTGCGTGTTTGGGGGGGTGGGGTGGGGGGCTGTCTGTCTTTGCTTATCACCTTTTGCCCTTAGGATTTTCCGATGGCAAGAACCCCGCAGTGACAGCAGCTCTAATAAACCAGAGCTTTCGCAGTCTAATGCCCTGGAAGGAGTCTCGCATCCCTATTGAGAGTTAGCCTCTGTCCCCGTCCATCTTGTTTTGAGCCACTAAATTAAAGGTTTTCTATCCCAGTTACAGTTTCGCCACCTTCTGCCATTCTACCAACAGAGTGAATGAACATGGACTTGCAAGCCAAGCTTCAGGCTCTGCTTGAATGTGATGTGCTCTTGGGGGCTTTGGGAGACCCAGTCTTGAGGTGAATTCTAATGCAAAATAGGAAGTCTGAGAAGAAGGGAATATCCTCTGTCATCGGGGAAGGAATTCAAGGAGCAAAGTCTAACACTGGAATTGTTTCTCTTGTTTCTGGTCTGAATCTCTCTTCCCTACCAAGCTTTTATGGCAATAGGTTAACATAAAATGATAAACTAGGCAGTTTTGTCATCCAAGACTCCACATTTGTAGGAGCTGGTGTATATGGTATTTGTCCTCAGAAGATGTTATTTAAATAGGAATAAAGAATCAATTTAATCTGACAAGGTATCAATCATATCAAGATCAACAGTTGGACTCCTTTTTTCCTTTGGATGGTGCTGTTTTCAGATATCTGGTGCACACAGTATGATAGAGCGATGGGGAAATAGCCTTATTTAGGTATTCTGCCTTCTGTATTAAAACTAATAAACAAAAACTTGCCCAAAACGCAAAAAAAACAAACTCACTGCCATCGAGTTGATGCCAACTCATAGTGACCTCATAGGACAGAGCTTCCAGGAGTGTAACTGTTTACAGGAGTAGAGAGCCCATCTTTCCCCCGTGGAACATCTGGTAGTTTCGAACTGCTGGCCTTGAGGATCACAGCCCAACTTATAACGACTGTGTCACCAGGACTCCTCTTATAGCGAGAGGGAACTTTAAATCACAGACCAAACTCCACCGTGAGCATTGCCTCTTTCACTCACTTCTGGCAGACCAGCTGCATTTGCTTGACAGCTTCAGCGACAGGGAGCTCACATTTTCAGGTACCCCTCTACTGGTTGTTATTGTTAACAAGGCTTTGTGTACACTGAACTGACCACTGCTTCCTTGGACCCATTTCTCTTTAATCTTTCTCCTTGTAAAACTTTATCCGGGATTTTGCTGCAGGAAAGATTAAAAAAAACATTCATTAGGATCTGAAAAGAGACTGACTAAAGAGAGTTAAGAAATATGTCTACCATTTTAAAGTTCTAGTTTTTAATATGTTCTGATTTCTTTTTGATTGAGGTTTTTCTCTATCTTATTTTGTTATTTTTGTTAGCTTGTTTGTTTGTTTGTTTGTGTATGATTTGTGGCATATGAAATCCAGGGTAGATGCATCTGTAGAGACAGTCCCTGGATTAATGGCTTCATGGGGCATGGCAGGGAAGGTTTGGAGAAATGGGGAACTAATAACAGGATAGAAGAGGGAAGAAAAACAAAATGTGTTTTAGTATCAACCTAGTATGTCTTTATTTTGTTCTTTTTCAATTTTCCTTCTTTATCCTTTTGTTTTAGATATCTGTTAATAGTTAATAGCTAGATTTACTTTTTCATCATGTGTTGTCTTTGGCCTACCAGAAAGAGCCAATCCATACTGTAATTAATTTTTTCTCTCCTTTCCATGTTTCCTTCTCTCTGCCTTTCCCTTACTTTGGGGTTTATTTTTTTCTCGCCATTAACTTTGAAGTTAGGCACTCTGTTTTATTAGTGATTAGTTATTTTTAAAAATTTTAATAAATCATTTTATTGGGGGGTTCTTAAACAGCTCTTATAACAATCCGTACATCCATGTGTCCAGCACATCTGTACAGTTGTTGCCATCATCCTTTTCAAGAGATTTTCTTTCTACTTGTGCCCTTGGCATCAGCTCCCCATTTTTGGAGAAAATCATCTATAATTGATTGTAGTGATGATTGTACAACTCTTCTTGATATGACGGAACTATTGTATTATATGTGGATAATGTCCCAATAAAACTGTTTGAAAAATAAAATTTAAAAGAGAAATAGGTCTTTTTTTACAAAGTCAGACTGTCTTCTTTATACACTGAGTTTCAGTGTCTCCATATATAAATTGGGAATGATGACAGTCATGCATCATTTAATACATTCTGTGATTCGGGCATTGAGAGCATCATAGTATATGCAAGCAGTCCTAGAGTAAGAATGAGTTCCAATCCTAAACCTACCTTTATACTGTAAATGAACAAACTGGAGCTTCTTTTAAAATGAAAGAGGTTATTGAAAGAACAAAGGATCAACCAGCACCTTGTAAAGATTCACCAAAGTACTGTAGCAAAACACATGAAAGAAACACTTCCAGATACACGAAAACTGCTTTAACGTAATAATACAGTAATAGTAACAATGTTTTTGATGCTCATCTCAAAGTAACACCTGTTGGTTATGGTTGTGTGCATGCGTCACATTGTTAAATAGGCTTCACGGGGGTGGGACTACAAGCATATATGCAGTCAGATATTCCTAGAATAGATGTTATGTGGTGTGTGACTGTATCCTTACATAGAGGATGAGGATGAAATGAGACAATCTTCACATGGTACTTCATATAGTGCCTGAAGTCAGTTCATACCAGTTATCTTCAGTAAAGGAAGGCTTTGATGTCTTCTTTCCTTAGTGAAGATCCTTACCTCAAAGTTGAATTCAGGTTAATCTGCATAGTGCAGAATGCAAGGATTTCCTGTCTCAAATTAAAATTTCTGAATAATTGAACTTAGTGGTAAATACATGAAAAAGACTGAAAACTTCACCACCATCTTTCTCTCCCATACCACGACTCCCATATGTCTTGCTTTATTTGTTCTCTTTTTGACTTTGAACATTTCTTTCTAGTTACTTGCTTGAAATGTGCTCTACAGTTTCCAGTTGGCTAGGTATGTTTGAATCTTGGTTGTAGTGCTGGTCATATTACTTCTACCTTCTGCATTTGTGTCACCTGAACATTTGGTGCCTTTGTTCACCAGACCTCTAAATCACACACTCTGTATTGGATGGGTCCCATTGCATGGAGGCGCACCTCGACGCCTGTGAAGCAGTAGGAAGAGCCCTGGTGTCTGACATTTTCCCCCTTTGGCTAGACGCCAACTAGCTTTGTGACAGTGAGAAACTCCTTTTTCTTAGCAATAAAATGAGCTCAGTAACATCTAATTTACAGGGTGTTGGTTAGAATTCAAAGTAACGCTTGGCAAGTGCTGAGTACAGCGCTGGCAGGGAATCTTGTTAGCCATCCAGTGCTCAGATGAATGGGCCAGTTGAACTTGGTTAGCACTGGCCTCCTTATTTATCTAATCCTTGCAGCCCATAGCTGCTCTTTTCCACAAGGACGTTATGAGGAAAAAAGTAAATGTCTTGCTAAAGAACAGAGATCATGACTACTCCTACTATAAAAGAAGATGTTAACTTAAAAATGTCTGAATTGTGAGTTCCTAGAACCCAATGTTTTCCCCTAATTAACTAAAGAGCCCTAGTGGGTGGTGCTTAAGTCCTCAGCTGCTTACCAATAAGTCTTCAAAGAGAGAAAGATGAGGCTGCTTGCATAAGGATTACAGCCTTGGAAACCCTATTTGCCAATTCTGCGCTATCCTATAAGGTTGCTATGATTTGGAATGGACTTCATGGCAAAAGGTTTAAGTGTTAAAACCAGTCGTGAGGAGGGTTTAGGAGGCCTGGTAGGGTTTGATCAGGGCAATGTAACCGAGAGGAATTACTGAGACCCAAATGAAGGCTGAGCATGATAGTAGGACAAGAGGAAAGTAAAAGAAAATAGAGGAAAGAACTAGGAGGCAAAGGGCACTTATAGAGGTCTAAATACAGGCATGTACATATATAAATATATTTATATATGATGACGGGGAAATAGATTTATATGCATATATCTATAGGTTTAGTATTAAGGTAGCAGATGGACATTGGATGTCCACTTAAGTACTCCCTCAATGCAAGAACACTTTGTTCTATTAAACTAGCATTCCATGATGCTCAGCTTTCCAACACAATCTATGAAGACAAAGCAAGTGCATAAGCAAATGTGGTGAAGAAAGCTGATGGTGCCCGGCTATCAAAAGATATAGTTGCTGGGAACTTAAAGCCTTGAAGATCTAGCTCAGAAGCAACAAAGCCCACATGGAAGAAGCACATCAGCCTGTGTGACCACTAGGTGTCGAAGGGACCAGGTATCAGGCATCATCAGAACAAAAAAATCATATCATTGTGAATGAGGAGGAGTGCAGACTGGAGCCCCAAGGCCCATCTGTAGGCAATTGGACATCCCCCCCACGGAAGGGTTGCGGGGAGGAGATGAGCCAGTCAGGGTGCAGGGTAGCAACAATGAAGCATACAACTTTCCTCTAGTTCCTAAATACATCCTCCCCACCCACTATCATGATCCCAATTCTACCTTACAAATCTGGCTAGACCAGAGGATGTACACTGGTACAGATAGGAACTGGAAACACAGGGAATCCAGGACAGATGAGCCCCTCAGGATCAGTGGTGAGAGTGGCGATACCTGAAGGGTAGAAGGAAGGTTTGGTAGAAAGGGGGAACCGATTACAAGGATCTACGCATAACCTCCTTCCTGGGGGACGGACAACAGAAAAGTGGGCGAAGGGAGACATCGGACAGTGTAAGACATGACAAAATAATAATAATTTACAAATTATCAAGGGTTCATGAGAGAGGGGCCCGGGGAGGGAGGGGAAAAATGAGGAGCTGATACGAAGGGTTCAAGTAGAAAGCAAATGTTTTGAGAATTATGATGGCAACATATGTACAAATGTGCTTGACACAATGGATATACGTATGGATTGTGATAAGAGTCAATAAAATGACT